GGAAAGAAAATCACTTGAAGATAAATGAGTAGCCCGCTTGTTTATTGCACTGAAAGCAGGTAAGAAGGCCTGACTCTTGATACTTAAAAAGACAAAAAAAAAAAAACAAGACACTGATGATTTCATTTATCAGAGAATTTCCCAAATAATCCCAAAGCATCTAATTCATTCCATCTATGTTTATTGAATAAGTACATTTTTCAATACTTTCCAGTACCACACACTTGGTCTTTGTACTAAAATACAAAGTTCAAAACTATCAGCACTGAAGCAAAGCTCTGTTTTATCATCCTTTAGATTGTAAATTCAGTAGGTTAAAGGTAATGTGTATGTGCTGTGATAAACTAGATGATTTGTTCCTAAGTCATCCAGTTTCTAGATTTATAAGGAAAATCAAGCTAAGTTAGAGAATCCATATGTGCACCTCAGTGTTCACCCTCACGTCATTTAAATTATACACAATACTAGCTGCCTTAAGAGAGTCCACCATTGGTTAAGATACGTATGTAGATATTTCTAATCTGTGTGTGACTATTTGTGATGTGGCAGATTGTTTTATTTATTTACAGTAAGACTCTCTCTTTACGAAAGTGTTGACTGTGCATTGTACGGGTTGTAGAGTTTAAGAGGACAAGCTTCCTCATACTGTTGCCAAGCACAGCTAGTCTGTACAGTGAGCATACTATGTGAATATACATTCTTTGTAAGGAAATATGTGAGAAGACACTATTATGTTCATTGACTGTTTGTATGTTTTCATAGTTCAATGTTTCTTTGTAGGACATTTTATATTGGTTGATATGAATGTCAGTACTGATCTAACAAGGAGCACTGCTGCAGCTGGTCCAGAAATGTGAAGAATTTTCCTGCAGTCTTCTGTTTTTGTAAAGCAGAGGGATGCATTTAGACTATTTATTTTATTGTAATAGTTATACGAAAACCATGATAGGCATTGCATCATAAAAGACTAAGACTAACTCTACATGTAATGATCATCAGCCTTTGTCTCCGCACAAATAAATGCACAAATCGACTGTAATTTCTGGTTTGTATATTGCAAGAATGAACAACTGAAAGCTTGTATTTGCAACTTGGGAGACGAGCATGGATCTTAACCTCTGCTGAAATGATTATTATTTAAAATTCTTTAAAAACCAGATGCACTGCATGGAAGGTAGGCTACAATTGTTAAGTTTACACTTAATTATTATTTTCAATAAATGTACATGTAATTATTTTACCACCAAGTCATTTTATTTTCATTTTTCATGTAAGAGTTTATCCTCTATTGTAAGTGCTAAAGCACTGCTATGTTGTAAGAGCATGCTGCCCTATTGGACTTACAGTGTCTGTTTTTATTTTTTAATGTATGTTCAAATACTTTGTTGTACAAAATGCCTCTCTCTTCCCTCCAAACATTACAGCTTTAAAATTAAAATTACATACCACATTAAACTTCAAGCTACTTCTTTGCTTTGTTCACTACTTTGTTCATATACATAGATACAGGACTATGACCATTGCTAATTATATAAATAACATTTATTTATTAAAAATTATGAATTAAAGTGTTTAGTATATTTGATCTGCTGGGATCTGGGAATATTCTGGGTTTTTCCCATTATGACTATCATGCCTATACCTCTGCATACTGATGAAACATGCTTAGTTTCATGACTTAAAAATAAATTTTAAATAATAATAACATGCGAGCACTAGAAAGCAGTTGTATGTGTTATCAATGTACAAAAACACAAAAGCTGTGAGCTCATTATATGTATTGAAATGTTTACTTTGTTGCCTTTGTAGTTCAAAAAACATTGCACATTACAGTTTAAACAATACTTCTGGACCTACAAAATTTGAGCTGTAAGTGACATCTTCACAATCACTTGAAACTGACATATGACTGCCATCCTATAGCCTAACATTCAATCCATCTCATTTAAAAGTTTTACATGCAATGACAGTACAATTGTGTGTACAGATAATACACACACGCACGCACACAAACACACACACATATATATATATATATATATATATATAGCGGGTAAAACAAATATTGAACACATCACCATTTTTCTCAGTAAATATATTTTTAAAGCTGCTGTTGACTTTTCACCAGATGTCGGTAACAACCCAAGTAATCCATACATACAAAGAAAACAATACAAATAATTTCAGAAATTAAGTTATGTGTAATAAAATGTAATGACCCAGGGAAAAATTATTGAACACGCTTACTGAAATGTATTTAATACTTTGTACAAAAGGGTAGATGGCAGCAGATTTTTATCAAGAACGTCTCAGTACATTTTTCCATTCATCCTTCCTTCAATTATATGAAATTTGCCAGTGCTACACCATGATGCTTTTGGGTGCCATTTGCGTGCATACAGGCCATGGCGGTTGAGTGCATTACTTATTATTTTCTTTGAAACAATTGTACATGCTAATTCCAGGTCTTTCTGAAGCTCTCCACAAGTGATCCTTGGCTCTTGGACAACTCTACTGATAATTCTTTTCACTCTTCTGTCAGAAATCTTGCGAGGAGCACCTGGTCGTGGCCGGTTTATGGAAAAATAATGTTCTTTCCAACATTCAGGAGTATAGAAATCCTTCTGTAACCAATGCCATCAGTATGTTTTGCAACAATAAGGTTGCGAAGGTCTTGAGAGAGCTCTTTGCTTTTACCCATCATGAAATGTTTCTTGTGTGACACATTGGTCATGAGACACCTTTTTATAGGCCATCAGTTGCGACTGAAGCAGCTAATATTAATTTCCACTGACGAGGGGCAGGATTGCTTTCTAATTACTGATAGATTTCAGCTGGTGTCTTGGCTTTCCATGCCAGGTCTTGAGAAAGCTCTTTGCTTTTACCCATCATGAAATGTTTCTTGTGTGACACGTTGGTCATGAGACACCTTTTTATAGGCCATCAGTTGGGACTGAACCAACTAATATTAATTTTCCACTGACAAAGGGCAGGATTGCTTTCTAATTACTGATAGATTTCAGCTGGTGTCTTGACTTTCCATGCCTTTTTGCACCTCCCTTTCTTCATGTGTTCAATACTTTTTCCCTGTGTCATTCTACTTTATTACACAGAACTTAATTTCCGAACTTATTTGTTTTGCTTTCTTCGTACACTCTCAGAAAAAGAGGTACAAAAGCTGTCACTGGGGCAGTACCGTTTCAAAAGGTACACTATTGTACCTTTTAGGTACTAATATGTACACTTTAGGTACTAATATGTACCTTTAAGGTACCAATATGGATTGCTTAGGTACAAATGTGTGCCTTTTGAAAAGTTACCGCCCCAGTGACAGTACCTTTGTACCTTTTTTTCTGAGAGTGTATGTATGGATTACTTGGATTACTGACATCTGGTGAAAATTTCATGTCAACAGCACCTTTAGAAATATACTGAGAAAATTGGTGATGTGTTCAATACTTATTTTACCCGCTGTATATATACAGTATCTCACAGAAGTGAGTACACCCCTCACATTTTTGTAAATATTTTATTATATATTTTCATAGATATTCGGAAAAACAGGACTCTAGTTTGTGTGATAGGCGAACTCCTATATCGTAGGCATTCACTCATTAAATGTAGGGTTCGTTCAACCAATACATTTCAATGACTTTTAAGACAATATTCATGACCTAATGCTCCATTATTTTACACAAATGTTCAGAAAATTAATGATTATTAGTGCTATTTGTTTGCTTTCTAATAAGCACAGGCTGCGACTGTGCCAGACGTTACTTCATGCAGAGAACATAAGTTAGGCTACATAATCACATAACTGAATGCCAGAATGTTAAGTATATTGTAATTTGCTTAGCCAGTATTATAAATTAAACTCAGGACTTTGTTTCATTTGTATCCTTGTGCTATTGCTAGTAACTTGTTCATTTATTACTGACCGTTTAATTGTCTTTATGTAACATTATTTATTAAAATGCAAGGTTACTTGAGTCAGAAACAATGAAAACAATAACTTTTTCTGGAGGTGTTTGCGATGCGGCTTCGTGTGCTCGGCGCTATGGATGTGACCGTGAGCGCCCAGAAAACTAGTTTGAAGCACGCTAGTACCGAATGGTTTAAAAAGACTTAAAAAGACTTGCAAATGATAAACTGACAAACGTGCGAAACCTGCGGGAATGAGTAAACCCAAAATCTCTTCAGATTAATTTAGTGGAACATTAATATAGAATCATCCTCCGTCAAGAATTGAGGCGTGAGCGTGAGAATTTATCATCTTTCTAAATGTGCGCTCTTTTGGGCGAACAGCTTAAGTGAACCGTTTAAAGTAGCCATGTGATCACAAATTAATCGGTGATTCGGCGCAGCGCAGACGTGATTTAATACGTGTGTCCTTTTTCTATGTGGAAAAAAATCATAAATTCCAGTTTATGCTGTTTGATTATGGCTTCGAATGTCGTAGTTGGAAGCTGGAAGCTGTTAGCCCAGGCTGGCCCGTGTGCGCAGTTGAAATGCGGCTAATAATTTCCGACTGGCACATAACTGAACAAATGTAAACGGGTTAAGGTGGGGCCCCCTACAGGCCATGAGTGTGAGGACCAAACCAAATCTCCAGGTTCTCTTATGAGAACCAGGCTGAAAAACGTATATGCACCCCTGTCTATTTGGTTTAACTTTTACCATCATTCCGAAAATTCCGAAAGACCAACTCAGTTCACCGTTCACCGTTTTATAGTCAAAACCATGAATCGTTAAGACTTTTGTGAATCATTAAAAAGATCTGATTCAAACAAACGAATCATGAATCCCGACGGACAACGCTAATGTGGACAATAACATAATGAATCTTAAGTGACCGAGTTCAAAATAAACAGTTAATGTTAAAATAAGTGAATTATTTCGACCGACGTGCATGAAAGACATCATCCACCCGCGATATCCATTTCATATCGGTGTCCTGTCCATTCTACCCGCTGATATTTCTATGCTACAAGATCAGTCGATTACACAGAGTGCACGCACACTTTCTTGTGTAGGCCTATAGGTTGTCTTCTGTACTGTTTAGATGAACTTTCAGAGGAGTGTAAACATTTGTTTTGTGTTGGCTGTGGGTGGGCTATCCACATACAGTAGGCTATGTCTTATAACATGGGAGCCCTACAATCTAAAATATGATTTTAATCGAAAACGTGGTATAGGCCAGGGTTGCCAGGTTTCCACAAGAAAACCCGCCAATCGCGTTTCGAGGGGTCCCCACGTTTACACGTTTTTTTTTGGCGGGGTCCCCCTGCTAAAATTCGCATTTCAGGGGATAAATATCATGTTATTGGAGTCGCTTCAAACCGGCGGACATGAAAAACAACCCGGGCCAACAGAAGTAGCCCAATTCCTTGCCAACTTGGCAACACTGGTATAGGCTAAATCATGTTGCGTAATTAATTACCCAAAGATCCTCCTACAGATAAACCCCTCTTAAAGATACAAAGAGCTCGCGACTGCATCACACACCTTTCAAGAAACTAAAACACCTACAACCAGCGACACTTCACTACAGGTGAGAGTAATCCTGCAGAGAGACCTCATTCACTCATGCACTTACTAATCTACTAATTATAGGCATTTGGCTGACTAATGTTTAGCCTAAGTATCCAAGTTATAACTGGGACAGTCCTATCTATAGTCCTATGAGACAGTATTGTCTGAAATGTCTTGCTCAAGGGCTCAAAAGGGCTCAGGATTTTGAATCTGTAACTTTCATAACAGGCTTCACCACTGTTAACTGAATATAATTGTTCTCATGTCATTATCTAGAGGCCAGCATGAAGAAATTGCTTGTGGATGTGGACTGTGGTGTGGATGATGCTCAGGCTATCATGATGGCTTTGGCAGTGCCTGGTGTGCAGATCCTGGGCATCACCTGCGTTCAGGGCAACACTTCAGTAGAGAATGTCTGCAAGAACGTCCTGCGTGTCCTGAAAGTGTGTAAGCATCTGGAGGTGAGATGGTCCCATATGCCATTTCACAATGAGACGGATATTTCTTTTGTATTGTGCAGTGATGCATTGTTCATTATACAATATTCATATTGATTTTGAAATTGCAGTACTAGATGTGTAGACAATTTTGTAAACAATTGATTGCAAGCTTTTTGATTCCAAAAGCACATATTTTGACCCTTTGGTTGGAGAAGAGGTAGTATTCTGCAATATTTTCATCACTTTGAAACTTGGATAAATTGGTGTATGAAATACTGGGGAACAAAAAGGAGGAAGACAGGGCTATACGGATGAGAAATGTCATGCTGTGAGTTTAAATGTGTAATTTGAACAGTAGCAATGCATTTATTTACTATTGTTGCGGTCATAAGTTTACATACACCTTGCAGAATCTGCAAAATGTTAATTTGAACAAAATAAGATCCTGGTAGAAATAGTGCAGAGTACTGAGTTATGTAGTGCATGACTGTCATTTCAGCATAATTGAAAGACTTGCTTATCCATGAATGGGATAAACACTCAAGACTTGTGTTCATGATATAACAGAAATCAGAAACCTTACATTGTGATTTGAATTATCTGGTTTTCTGTATGTTCAGTATATATCCTCTTATAATTCGAATTGTTTGCAGAGATATTTTGAGCTAATAACGCCAAGAATAATGTTACTTGCTGTAAAGTAATGCATTGTTGTCCAGTGCATGACCGCATACAGTAAATAGAAAACCAGATTGTGTCTCTGAATTGCTTTAGATTCCTGTATTCCGTGGAGCGACTAAAGCGCTCTTGGGACAGACCATCAGTGCTGGAGAATTTCATGGCAAAGATGGACTCGGGGACGCCCCGGACCCCAACGCTCCTGGTTTGGATCTGGTCCAGAAAGAGGACGCCATGTCGGCCATGATCCGAATAGTCAATGAGAATCCTGGAGAGGTCTATATGATTATACGATATATTAGTGGAATTATCTTGCATTTCAAGTACTTTATCATGTGTTGTTCCTGTTTCTCTAAGGTGTCTTTAGTGGCCACGGCTCCGCTGACAAATGTGGCTTTGGCAGTGAAACTTGACCTCTCATTTCCCCAGAAACTCAGAGGCCTTTACATTATGGGTGGCAATACAGACTGTGAGTCACTAATACTTAAGGCTGGAATACACTACATGACTTTTAAAATCTGAACAGATTTTTAAAACACTAGGCATCATACACTTACCGACTTTGTAAACCGTGACAAAGGAAAGCTGGCCATCATACACTACACTACTGAGGATCACACACTACCAGACCTTCAAGTCGTTCCGATAACAACAAACTTGAGCAGAAATGTACGCCTTGTTGCTAGGAGACGCTTGACAAATGAAAACAACATATGTTCTAAAATCGGCTGAAAATACCAAACATGTTTGATCTCCTCCGACTGGATGGAATCAGAGTCTGAAGCTAAAAATTCAGAGGCTGTGACCATCATACACTATGTGATTTTCTGTGGCATCTGTCAACTCAAACCTACAGACTGACTCTTACTTTCAAGCAGCTAGCATCGATTTCTCCAGACTGTAAATCGATGGAAAATCGGGGCAAAAATCGTGTAGTGTATTGCAGGCTTTACTTTACACATACTGTTTTATCAGAATAGGATTGGACAATATATCCAATATTAGAGCTGGTAGGTTTGATTCATTCCAGTGAATTAGTCTAAAGTGACCATTTAGATGAATGTTCAAATCTCTGAGTAAATCTTTAAGTCAGTGTTTCTTAAAAACAGACTTTTATCTGTTTGGCTGCAATGATGGCTCCTCTCAATGAAAATGAATCCAAACGGTCACTTTAAAACTGATTCACTCAAAACAAATGTAAATTTAAGCCATACCAAAGCACAAATACAAATATAGATGCGCACTATTGGTCAGACATTTAGAATAATTATGATCCTTTAATGTTTTAGAAAGAAGTCTCATGCTAAACAAGGCTGCATTTACTTAATCATAAACATGGTGAATCAGTAATATTGAGAAACATTATTTCAGTTTAAACTGAGTTTGTTTGCAATATATTTTAAAATCTATTTTATGCCTGCGATGACAAAACAGAATTTTCAGCATTGTTGCTCCAGTCTTCAGTGTCACATGATCCTTCAGAAATCATTCTGATATGCTGAAAAAGCCTTATCTTATTATTAATCTTGAAAAAGCAACACAAACTGTTGTTGCTTAATATTTTTTTGTGGAAGCCAATAGATTTTTGTAATATTCTAAAGGTTTTTACTGCCAAGTTTGATTAATTTAATGCACCCTTGCTGAATGAGAGTATTCACTTCTATTTTTTTTTAATTATTCTTACCTCAAACTTTTGGTTTTTAAATGGTTTATGCAAAAATATGAAACCGCACAACTATATCAACATTGATAATAATTACATTAATAATAAAATTACATTTAATTACAAATGACATTTACACAAAATATATTAAAATAGAAAACTGTTATTTGAAATTGTTATATTTCACAATATTAGTTTTTATTGTACTTATGAGCAAATAAATGCAGCCTTGATCAGCATGAGAGAGTTCATTCAAAAACATTTTAAAAAATCTGAATTATTCCAAACTTTTGACCAGAACTGTCTATCTTCAGAAGGACAATAGCTTTTTTTTTTTGTTTTTTAATGCAATGCAATATTGCCCAGCCCTGAACCAGAATCATTTGTACGCTAAGTGCAAATCAGTCTGATCTGTATTGCCGATTTATTATATTTTTAATGCATTTAGACCAGGTTAGAAAATAACATCTGTTCATCTTTAGCGCGCGGGAACACCACTGTGTGTGGAGAGTACAACTTTACAGCTGATCCTGAAGCAGCATATATTGTTCTGAATGAATTTATTTGCCCAGTTTACATTGCAACCTGGGAGTTCACTTGTCGCAGTAAAATACCCTGGGTGAGATTTGCATTTCTTAATCATCTATATACTCATTCTAATAATGTTTATGTATTATGTAAATACAACTGTTGGTGGTTTATACATTCCTGAATATGCAGCCATATCGATGTTACATTATACAATATCTGCACATGTCTGTTTCAGGAGTTCTGTGATGGTTGGCTGGCTCAGGACACAGATAAAGCTCGGTTTATGAAGCAGATCTTTAAGCATAGCATGGAGTCCACCTACAGCGAGAGGATTGAGAAGGAGCTGGTGGATGGGCAGGGATTCGTCTCCTGTGATTCTTATGCCATGGCAGCAGCCATAGACGACACGTATATCATTGAAACTGAACACAAAGCCGTCACTGTAGAGCTGGCGGGGAACTGCTGCCGGGGAATGATGGTTGTAGATCACCTCGATATCCTGAAGAAGACTCACGAAGCCCACATCTTGAAGAAGGTGGACTTGGAGAGGTTTAAAGTGCTCATGATGAATGCTTTGAAATAAATGATCATTAGTATCCATGTCTGGAATTATCTTACGATATGTTTTATAAACATCTTTGTGGAATTTTTTTTCTACTTCATCAGATTTCACTTTTTTACAAAATCATAAAACCATTCATACAGAAATAACAGTCAGCTGCTGAATGAGATATAAATTACATTTTGATTAAAAAAAAAAACTACTAATGTTTTGAATATTGTTATCTTTTGTGGATCCAGTGATTTTATGAGTGAACATTCAGAACTGGAAATCTGTTTTATTTGATGATTTCTGCGAACTATTTTTCGCAAGACAAGTTTGCTTAAAAAGCATAATATTTACACATTTGAGAGCATGTCTTGGCATTTTGATACAAAACATGTTATTCACGTTGAAGGTGTTATTCAGTATCCCTTTCGGCCTCGGAATCGAGATCTGGTGTCCAGCTATAATAAAAGAAAAATGAAAGCGCTTTTATTATACAGTGAAGACATTGACTTGTTAGCATGTGCACTTGGCTGTAGTTGGTTTAAAACAGAGCTATAAAATGAATGAAATAAAATAAGACTAAATTAGACTCAAGGCAGTAGCACACAGGTACAAATTACTGATTAAAAGTTAACTGAAAAAACATACAAAAAAACAAACACTTAATAATACTTAATTTAAGATAGTTGCCAAGGCACCATTTCTAATTTTCATTTAGTTTAACTTAAAATCTTTGAATTTGAATCTTAAAATAGTTGTAAAATCTGTATCAACACACGTGGATTTCAGAAAAAAAGTGCATAATTTAAACAGCAGATGTACTGACCATGGATCTCTTGCACTCAAAGAAAGCCACTTGCAAGCCTTTGCAATGTCCTTCCTTCAGACACTCACTGGGCTTCTTACCCTCCTGCGACACAACAGAGACCATTATTATTGAGACAGCTAGGTTGTGGGATCAGAAATATGCTTTGGTTAAACTCATGCACTTTGTTGTTTTTAACAACAACAAAAACGACAACAATCTATGTTATTGTGAGAGGCACGATAGATCTGTCAGGCTGATGATAATACATATTCCTGATAATACCTTCACTACACAGTCATGCTGAAGGAGACAGGCTTTGAAATCTTCTCTTAATCCAGCGCAGGCGCGGCCATCGTCCTCTTTATCCTCGTAATATTTGGGCATTCTGTAGAGCTTTGCAAAACGTGGCAAAAAGAACACAACAAGCTACAGATAAGTCAAATGCGGAATTATTATGAAAGCGGCCATGTTACGTATGACGTATGTAAGGAAGTGGAACGGAGGTGGATTGTGGGAATTGTAGTTCGCAAATGTTCCATTTGTTTGCGCTTACAAACATTTGATTGAAAATAGTGTTAAATGACGGAATTTATACTGTCGACAATTATGCATCGATTTCAATCATTTATTATATTAAGCACAGTACTCGACTGTCATATAGCAGTGTGAAGCATTTATATTGACCAGAAGATGGCACTAAAATAATGCTTTTGTCGTATAATATCAAGTTTACATCATCCCCTAGGGACTTGAGTAACGCTTAAAAATATCATTGCTTTAGATAGGCTACATTGTGTCCGTTATTTTAAAAAAATACAGCATTTTCAGGGAAAATGTTTAAAAATACACGTACTGTAATAGGAGCTTGAACAATTTCTTGGAACATGTTAGTCCAGTTGTCTCGCTGTAAAAATGACTGGCATTTTATTGGTAAATGGTTTAATATTTCCATTGCAGATTTAATGTAATACAACTGTACACAAAAATATTTAGGCCTAAATTTAAGATTTGTGTATTTAAATTGTATAAAATTACTACCGATTTGAATTACAAAGTTTTGACAAACAAATTAATAAACATAATGTGATGCATACTTGTAAGACATACATAAATAAAACAAAAGGTATGGTAAAAAAAATCACGGCATAGTGGTTTCATCTTATTTACTTAGATTTTCTTTTATTTATTTGATTTAAATAATCATATTTTCAAAATGCATTTATTCAAATCGCTTAGAAAATGTTCACTGTGAAAGCAATTAAATGTATTAATTTAACAAGTATGTAACTATAATACATATACCCGTGGAAGAAGTAAGATTCAGTTAGGCTAGTTAGAATGCATGAGATTGAAACAAACTGGATTCATCATAAATATATATAAACCTGGTTATTGTGTATTTAAAATGCATTCATTTGATCAGTACTGACAAATATGTACCATAAATATCTTGATTAGTTTGTTAAATCCTAAACTTAGGCCTATTCTTTTCTTTAAGACTGTAGGAAAATATTGTTTAGGCCCTAAAACATCATAATTCATGCATACAACACTCTTTATTAACATCACATCACAACATGCCTCCTCAAAACATGAAAATGTTTCTCACAGTTGCATGATTAAATATGTAAGATAAATTAGTTAAATAAATGAGCAATGAGGGAACACCGCAGAAACATAAAATGATGAATTATGTCAAGAAGACTGGTTTATTTTTGCAACAGTTTATTCAAATCAATGTCAGAGCTGGAGAGAGACAGATGAAGGCACATGAAAGTCTAGAATGCACCACACAAGAGGAGCACGTTTCATGTCTGATTCATCTCAATGTAAGACCGAAGGGTGGATTTCAAGATGGACATGCGCTGATGGGAAACCGGCCCATGAGAGTTTAACGAGAGGGCAACGGACAACAATCCATCTTTCAGTGCTAAAACCGACGTGGAACCCGATCATTGAGCACAAATCTGACTAAAAAGGCAGCAATATGGCAAAACACTATGAAAACCACTCCACTGTGGTTGCACTAGTCCATTCTCCAGAAGTCATGTCATATGAGGATGTAAAGGAGAATGACGATACAGTGCTCTACACTCAGACCAAGAATTGATCTCCATCTCTCCTCTCAGGAGAGATCATTAACAAACTGTAAACAAATGTTTATGACAGTACATTGGCTTTCTATTACAAAACACACACTGCGATTCACATCTGGCTCCAAGTAGTCACGAAAGTGAGGGTGTACAGTATGTATCTAAAAAGGATATGTTCTGAAACTTGAAGCATCAAGGATTATACAATGACAGACTGAACTAAAACTTTCATCTTATTAAAGATATATACAATCACATGAGATGAGAGCACTTTGGAAATCTGTACAGCAGTTACGTCGCCATCAAGTCCCTATATCAGGAGCTACAAGCAAAATAAATACGAACCGTAGCTTTACAAAACCAGCACACTTAACACTTCTGAAAATAGCTGGAAATGTAGCGGTTCCATTCAATTTCTGTTATAAATCTACGGTTCTGGTAATATTTTGCTCCTGACCAGGTCCACATAGAATCTGCACCAGCAGCACTCCATAGAAACCTTTGAACTGCAGTCATTCATTAAGTTCTAGAGTTACAATATTAGAGTCTACATATTGTGGCTTATTTGATTAAGATTAGGGCTGCACGATTAATCGCATGCGATATTTAACGCGCATCTTGTCAGAAAGCCGGTTCTGTAATCAGCGGTAAATCTCCATCACCTGCGGGCTTTCACATTGAGCAGCATTAACTACACAGAGCCGTTGTTCACTGATGAGCTGCGCTAAACCACGTTCATATTCGCGCGATTTTTTGCGCTGCTCATCAGTGAACAACGGCTCTGTGTAGTTAATGCTGCTCAATGTGAAAGCACGCAGGTGATGGAGATTTACCGCTGATTACAGACCGGCTTTACTGATAAGATGCGCGTTAAATATCGCATGCGATTAATCGTGCAGCCCTAATTAAGATGATGAAAAACAAACATTTCAATACTTTTAAGTTTGCTTGCAAAACGTTTGGACTAGTTTGTAAACGCATTATGTTGCCTCAAGAAACTTTGCGTTCACTTGCAAAAGTTCTACGTTCCCCCAAGGAAATTTGCGTTCGCTCGCAATACTTCTACGTTCACTTGTAAATAGTACTGCGTTTCTCCAAGAAACTTTGCATTGGCTCGCAAAATGTTGTGTTTTCTCACAAAAATGAATGAAATGGTTCTTTCCCCCACCTCATATTTTAATCCCAAAACTTTTAGGAGCAATTGCAAAAGTATTGCGTTGCCTCAAGAAACATTGCATTGCTCACAAAACGAGCATTGCATCGCTCGCAAAAAACATTGCATCGCTCGCAAAACTTCTACGTTTACATGCAAAAGTACTACACTCCCCCAAGAAACGTTGCAATGCTCTCACAAAAATTCTCTGTTCCCCCAATTAAATTTGTGCTTGCTCACAAATCGTTTGCATTAATTCGCAAAAAGTGCTGCCTTTCCCCCAAGAAAATTTGCATTCGCTTGCAAAACCTTTTCAATATCTAGCAAAACCTTTGCGTTCTCTCGCAAAATACTGAAAAATAGCTCTTGGTCCTACCTCATATTTCCATCACAAACGTATTTCGAGCAAACACAAAGTTTGTTTGTGTTCAACGCCACGCCAGCTTCTGTGGCTATTTTCATGGCAAGAAAAATGTATGGCTGAATTATTTCAGGTTTTTACGATTTATTTTTTGCTAAAAACTCTTAATACTGTATTTGGCTCAACCCAAAGTTTGTCAGGGAACGCAAAACATTTCTGAAAGAACACAAAGTTTCTTGGTGGAATGCAAACACTTTGAGAGAAGCAAGATCTTTGAAAAATCAACTCGTTTTATTTCCCCACCACCATGTCACTTTAGGGACTCTGTAGATTGTGCTTTCAGCTACCATTAAAATGTAGTACCCTCAGCTTCATTAATAATTTCACCACATTTAAATTCATTCTGTGCAGAAAAAAAAATCTGCAGATTCCATCTGGACTTAATCATGACTCACTGAGCATTCAGATACTTGTGATACAGCATAGAAAGAAGAACATTTTCTGACTGACATGATGAAAGCAGATTATTTGAGATGGAAAATGCTCAATGAACAAATGAAGACATGAAAGACTCGGGAACATAAAAATGGACATGCCATGCTCTACACTTGAACGTCTCACTTAAATCAAGCAACTAACAAACTGTCCTATTGATGATTTAAGCATTTTGACTCAGGGCACAAGGCAGTCCTTTACCAGGCCCCCTACTGGGACACTGGATGTTAAGGCACAGAAGTGGGCGGCCCTGCACCCTTCTCAACTACACAAAGATACAAACATCAACCATCACTCGACTTTAAGCCACAATACATTCTCTGCCACATCATACATTTCCAAAGAATATAAAATAAAAGCATTTACCTTTTGTACAAATTAAAGATTTATTTCAAATAAATTAATTCACCTTCATAGATCGTCATCATAATAATAATAACACCAGCAATTAAAAACCTTCAGATTGAAAGCCATGATTGACTCGTTGACACTAAACCAACATAGAGGAAGAAAAGCCACTTCTGTTGACCAGGTAGAGGCCCAAAGATATGCTGTTTGTTTTTAGATTTTGGCAAAGCAGTCAATAAAATAATAAACTGGTCTCGAAATGTTCTTAAAAGAGTTTCAAACATCAACGGCCTAAAACCTACAAAAAAAAGACTTTGAAACAAAACCTTCTGTCGTCCCACTCGTTCATCCCTCAGCCGAAATCCAGCCGTGTTTATCTGTCCCAAGGTCAGTTACAGTCCATGACGGCAGAGCGCTGAGGACATTCTTCATCAGTAGGGCTGGGCACATATTCTCCAGCATTGGTGCAGCCTTGAATCCTGAACTTCAAACCTTAATGACAGCGATGATTGTAATTCTTCACGACACAAATTTAGTGTCTGAAAACATTGTCAAAAAGTGTTTTTTTTTTCTGTACAGTAGTAGTCACATTCAAACAACAGAATTCAGGGAATAGTAAAAGGTAAAATGAAGTCTGACGACAGAGGCAAAGGCAAGCGGAAGAGAAGAGAAATTGACAAAACTACCAGAGGAAGACGAAATGACAAAAAAAAAAGGAAAAAAAGCAAAGTTTAAGAGGTGAAGAACATAAAGCCAGGGTTCCTTCACACACTCTGATAATGTGAGGGTCACTCTTGATCCGCTGTAGATGCGAGCAGCACAAACCTGTCTTGGTGACCAGAGGGCCTCGGCCACCGGAGACATACGGTAGTAGTTACCCAGGTATCCTCTTGATATGGATCTGACAAGAGATTAAAGAACATCTGTCAAGAACCAGGCATATGAAGAACATCATCT